ACTAAATTGTAGTTGCTTGAAAATTTTTCTAAAGCTGACATGAAGAAATAGTGGTAATAACATATTTTTTATAATAATAATAATTAAAATAAATTTCATAATGTTTGATTTCTCCAGCCTACATTACAATTATTGGTAAAAATTAAAATACTTTGATACATGTATATGTATTTTCTCTGTATATGTTATTACTATCATGTTAAAACAGGATCTCATTACTCTCCAAAATTTGGCAGTAGAGTTTTCAAAAGTATGAATGTTGGAATACTTAATGGACATGCTTCTAAAGTTCTAAGTTTAAATACACATATGCCTATATTCTCATTCTAACTTTAGTTTCAGCATACTTTAAAACACTCCACAATTTCTCTTACCATGGTGGTAATCCACTCCCTTCCATAAACATAAGCATTTCCTACCACAGAGTCCAGTGTTCCCTGAACATCTTGCAGTTTCTCTGGTAACAACTGTTGCAGTTCTGGATTGTGAACAATAACTCTGTTGATGAGATTACTAGTCACATCAACAAGATGTACACTTTCACCATAAATCTGTTAAGTGAAAGGCCATTTTTTAGATTATTTTTAACAAGGACATTAAACACAAAATGGTAGTGTTTGGTTGTATTCACAATACAGAATTCAAACATTTCTGAATATTACAATGGACAGTATTTGTTGAATAAATTAGCTATACCTAAAGTTAAGTGTTCAGTTGATTAGATATATGTTTTAGACAACAATATGAATTGTAATTTTTATAATACTCCCTAACAGCATATCATTCAGCTATTTTAATAGTTTTGACTTTCTTCCAACTATATACAAAAACTCACTTCTTCTTCATAAACCCCTGCTTTCTGATATTTGTTCACGTATAGTAATAGTTAAGTGTAGCCAATCTGCACTCCTATTTCAATCACACAAAAGGTAAACATATATACTGTACCCATTTATACCTTCCAGTACTTCAAACCAGAAATTACAAATTTATAAATTGTTCATACGATCATCCTGCCTCTTTGCCTATCTGTAACAACTCAACAAGCGTTAGTAAATTTTTTATGATAGACCACAAACAATTATGATCTCAAAACCGCATAAAAATTAACATTATATGGTTTCAAGAATACCTAAATGAGTTTCATTTCTACAAATATAAATTTTTGGCATTTAGAGTATTATAAAAAACATTTTAATAACCACTGAGATACAAAGAAGCATTAATTAAGATGCATACTATTACATTTTATTTTAAAAAAGTATGTTTTTTTATCACTGTTAACCTCATTACCTGAACAGAGAGGAAAACTGTCCCAACAACTGCAAGTATCAAAACTAATAATATGACACCGATACTAGTGAAAGTATCGATGGATCTTTCCAACACAGTGAGAACCTGCAAAAGAGAGAGAATACATTTCCTTTATTCAAGTCAGGTTTTACAGCTTTTTTTGTTACTGTATTCCCAAATTTTACTTTATAAACATTAACAATACTTTACTCACTATACTGTAATTACTAGTAGCTATCAAGAGCTTGTGAACTTTAACAATACTTTACTCACTATACTACAACTACTAGTAGCTATCAAGAGCTTGTAAACTTTAACAATACTTTACTTACTATACTATAACTACTAGTAGCTATCAAGAGCTTGTAAACTTTAACAATACTTTACTTACTATACTATAACTACTAGTAGCTATCAAGAGCTTGTAAACTTTAACAATACTTTACTTACTATACTATAACTACTAGTAGCTATCAAGAGCTTGTAAACTTTAACAATACTTTACTCGCTATACTGTAATTACTAGTAGCTATCAAGAGCTTGTAAACTTTAACAATACTTTACTCACTGTACTATAACTACTAGTAGCTATCAAGAGCTTGTAAACTTTAACAATATTTTACTCACTATACTGTAATTACTAGTAGCTATCAAGAGCTTGTAAACTTTAACAATACTTTACTCACTATACTGTAATTACTAGTAGCTATCAAGAGCTTGTAAACTTTAACAATACTTTACTTACTATACTGTAATTACTAGTAGCTATCAAGAGCTTGTAAACTTTAACAATACTCACTATACTGTAATTACTAGTAGCTATCAAGAGCTTGTAAACTTTAACAATACTCACTATACTGTAATTACTAGTAGCTATCAAGAGCTTGTAAACTTTAACAATACTTTACTCACTATACTGTAATTACTAGTAGCTATCAAGAGCTTGTAAACTTTAACAATACTTTACTTACTATACTGTAATTACTAGTAGCTATCAAGAGCTTGTAAACTTTAACAATACTTTACTCACTATACTGTAATTACTAGTAGCTAGTAACAGTTTGAAGCACATTTCTTTATTTCTACATATCAGCCTAGTTTTAAAAAATATACATAAAAATAGTCATTTTTACCACTACTTTTACTAGAACTATACAGTTAGATACCAAAAGATATTTGAGAGATCTCATTAATCCTTTGTGTACAGTGAGACCAAAGTGAGCACGTCACAACCTATTTACAGTTACATTCAAAAATTAATCAAATAACATTATTATCAATGTATATCAATAAACTTCATTTAAAACATAGTTCATAATCCAAATTTCAATATTATATAAGTTTTTATGTTTTAATTTCTAAAGGAAATATTTAAATAAATTCTTTATCATTAATACTCTGTATCATGTAATCATTTCTTTGCTCCAAACTGCCTAATCTAGCATTTCTTTCTACTTCTACAGGATCTTCTGAGTTTGACACAAATTATAACTTATAGTATAGACACTACTAAGCCATAGTGTAAACTTAAAGCCTCCAATCTTCTTGGTTTACTGAAATATAAATCAGAGAGTCATACCCACACACCACAAGCTCCTATCTCATTCCTTCTAAAAATGTCGATAATTAACTCTGGCATTTGCTATTGGATTATTGATAACCATCAGAAAGAGAAGGTTTAAATTCATTAAACTCCCCATAAGGTTAGCTCATTCTGATGATAAGTTATAATAGTTTTTTTTTGTGTATGTTAATATTTTGTGTTCTAATTGCATATTTGAAATAATTGAAAATTGAGTAAAGTACCTTTAACAACCCTACCAAACAGTAGTATTAATGTTTATGGAGACTCTGACAGAGAAGAGTACAAAACTCACATGTAAGTAATGAATTCCTTGATTTTACAAGCATGTGTTTCTCCAGCGTGCATTTGACATGTTAAGTAATAAAGTTTATTGTTGAAAGAATTATATTGCTGAAATACTACATTGCTACCTATAATAAACAAAAGTTCTATCTAAATTACAGATCGAGGAAGAAAAATAAAATAATTATGATAATTAGAGACATCATCGTTTGTCCCTATTCTCATCAAACAACTATGACTGCAGATGAGAATAGGAACAAAGGATAGCTCCTATAATTATCATTATTATTTTTTCATTTTAACTTTCTTTATTTCAACGATGATTTCAATAGACCTTTTGTTTACTAGAGGTATCAATTTATCATTGCAAAATAAGCTTTACTGCTTAACATGTGAAAGATAAGGTGGAAAAATGCACACTATAGAATATATTATTTAAATCAACTGAAGCTTTGTACTGTCAGTTATGGTTTGTGTTTTAGTGAAATGCTCCTGATAAACCTGTAAAGTGAAACACTGAGTATCTAATTAAATAACAAAAATAACAAATTAGGTATTATAAGTTTGTTTATTCCTCGTATTAAAATATTTTTTTGCATTCTAATATGCACAAAAAAATTAAATAAAGATAAGATTTTAATCCGTTTAAGTAACTGTGAGACTATAATGCAAACCTAAATGTTAATTGGTTAAGTATTGTCTGTCTTAATTACACTTCTATCACTGTGTGCAAATATACATATTAATTAATTCAATGTGACTCTACATGCTCAGTTTCATTATTTTTTGTTTGTGTTTGATAGTGTTAGCTTCTTAAAAAATAAGATGTTAGATACAGGGTTGAGTACATTAGGTTAAAATGATTAGCATGCAAATCATCAAGTCATATGACAACCACAGCCAATATAAAGTCATGATGGAACAGAACGTATCAGAATTACATTTTGACACTGTTTACCATTTAGTATATAATTTGATGCAACCTAAAACTGATTACTTCTGAAAGGGTATGAAACAGCTTTTTCTAACACAAAATATTCATACATTCAGGTGATAAAGATGTGTTTATATGGGGGATTTAGAATTTCCAAGGCAAGGAATCCCTTGCACCTAATGGCATTGGAAAACAAAGGAATATGGAGCAGCTTGTTGTACCAGGACCACCCAAATATTTGCAACAATTCATACCAAACCACAGAAAGCAAAATGAAACATTTTGTAAAAGGTGAAAATCCGCGAAAACAAAGATCCATAGCAAAAGCTGTCCATGTTTGTTGTATAAATCAATCCAGAATACTTAAGGTCATGTATCTCTCACATTTTGCTCTATAAAGCAGTTGAGAATACTTCAAGTAGTGTATCTCTCTCACTTTGTTCTATAAAGCAGTTGAGAATATTTCAAGTAGTGTATCTCTCTCACTTTGTTCTATAAAGCAGTTGAGAATATTTCAAGTAGTGTATCTCTCTCATTTTGTTCTATAAAGCAGTTGAGAATACTTCAAGTAGTGTATCTCTCTCACTTTGTTCTATAAAGCAGTTGAGAATACTTCAAGTAGTGTATCTCTCTCACTTTGTTCTATAAATAAAGCAGTTGAGAATACTTCAAGTAGTGTATCTCTCTCTCTTTGTTCTATAAAGCAGTTGAGAATACTTCAAGTAGTGTATCTCTCTCACTTTGTTCTATAAATAAAGCAGTTGAGAATACTTCAAGTAGTGTATCTCTCTCTCTTTGTTCTATAAAGCAGTTGAGAATATTTCAAGTAGTGTATCTCTCTCACTTTGTTCTATAAATAAAGCAGTTGAGAATATTTCAAGTAGTGTATCTCTCTCACTTTGTTCTATAAAGCAGTTGAGAATACTTCAAGTAGTGTATCTCTCTCATTTTGTTCTATAAAGCAGTTGAGAATACTTCAAGTAGTGTATCTCTCTTTCACTTTGCTCTATCAAGCAGTCCAGATTACTTCAAGTAGTGTATCTCTCTCACCTTGCTATTGTTCATAGTAATGCATAATTTCAGAATTTTATTATTCTCATCAGAAATTATTAAGGGTTATACATCAAAGGTATACTAAATTTTATATAGTATTGTATAAAATAATTAAATTAGAGCTAAATATCTTTTTTCGGTTCATAAAAAAATGAATCCTAAAAAAAAAGAGAAACATTTATGAGTTTAAAAGTATAAAACAAAAAAGCTATTAACACTTAGCGTGAAATGTACCTTTTTGTCACCTTGTACAAGTATCTTCCCTAAACCTCGAACAGGTGTGGGCATAAGTACTTCCTTCCTAGTTTCATACCACTTCTTTCCAACTTCTAAACCAGTAGCAATTTTTCTCTTGATGAAACCGAACAACCCAGAGTGAGATCCTAGAAAAATTGTTTTGGATAAGGAAACAAACTTGAGTAAAATATTATGTGTGTAATCATTACATGCATTAATGTTCTGTAACATGAACTTCATTCTTAAACCGACAAATAATATCCATAAAACATCATGTATACAGCCACACATGTAATCACTACAGGTTTGACAGTAACAACATTTTTAAGGTGTTAAAAACTGCAAATGTGGTATCTTCAGTTGTACTCTTCAAACATTAAATACAACTGAAATTTCAAAACTATGTTTCAACTTCAGTCAACCTGACTTTTTGTTCTACATTTTATGATGTCTAAAAGTCATGCTGGTCTCTATTTAAAGATAGAATTTAGCTGAAGTTAACATTTTCCTTACCTCAAAATGTATTTCCAATAGATACTTTATCACACAAAAAATTATGTTCCCTATGCATCTATCTTAGAGATTTGCATGCCATGAGCTTTCAGGCAACTCCCATCTAAACTCAGGAGATTTCTTGTGAATTGTTCTACTGCATAATGATGTTATTATGATTTTTTTACTCATGATCTTCATTCTATGATGAGGCAAGAAATACTAATTTGCATTGGAAATAGGAAGGAAGGGTGTGAGAATGTGAGTATCTATCGGAAATACATTTTCAGGTAAGGAAAATGTTAACTTCTGAGACAATACACACCTCTTCACACAGAAAACTAGAATCCCATTTTGATATGATGGATAAACTAGTGAAATTTTACTTAGATGAGCTTGCTTCAAAAAAAATGCTTGAAGAAAACCCCTGGAGTGTGACCCCTAATGGCAGGGGTTCCATAAGGGCACACTCGTGGGAGGCCACATCTCATCTCTTCCAGGGCAAATGTGCCCCATGTGTTGCGAGTATGGGCAGAATAAAAATATCCTCATCTGAGTAACTGCACACAAGAGATTGGAGAGCCAATATGTGTAGCATGGTCTGGGAAAGTTCAGAGCATATCAAATGCACATCTCAACTCAACAATCACACTTATTGAACCGAAACCAGTTGCAGGAGGAGGGCATAGAAATTAATCATGTGTGCTTGTCTCAACTCTATTGACAGACTCTTGGAATGACACCAGCTGCAGGAGGAGTGCACAGAATTCATGTCATGGAGTGTGTAATAGTAGTGCATGACCACCTCAACTCTACCATTAGTCTCTTGGACTGAAACCACCTGCAAAAAGAAGGCAAAAAAATTCATGTCAAAAAGTATTTAATATTAAGTGGACAAATCTAAATGTGAAGGTGGAAGGACAAGATCCCATGATGGAAAGGAGATGGCAGATGTTGAAGCAATAGAGTGTATAATAGACAGGGGAAGGAGTAGTTGGGTTGTTGGCATTGAAGAGGGATCCAAGAGTAAGCCAGCCAGAGGGGTACCACCAAGAGGACACAACAAAGAGCGTCTCTAGTTAAGGCCAGGGCCCAAGATAAAGGCCATAAAAGTAGGTGAGCATCAAGACAAGTATAACACCAGACCTGGCAGAAGGCAGTGACATTAAGGGTTGAAGGATGGAGAAAAATGACCAAAAGAGAGGATGCATGAAAGTGAGAAGGCTGGCCAGGCAACAATGAGTGAAGTCCCCAAGAGAGAACCCCAAAGGAAGCTGGGGGAGATGAAACCATCTGCAGGCAAAACATGTTCTGGTCAATAGAGGCGGTCCACAAACCAGTTCATAGCAGGCAAGAAAACCAACCTGCTGAGAATTGGCCCAATAAGGAAGGTCCAGAGAGATTTAAAGCAAGGGATTCTGGATGTCATATCCCATGGAAGTTAATTTAAGAAAAACCAAGGAGTTGTTAGAATAGAACATAACAAAGTGATCTACTGGAGTGATAATAATGAGGGCTGAAAGGAGGAGGGAGACGGGAATTGGAGAGAAGGTCCAGAGTAAAAAGTAGGAGCTCAAACTGGAACACGATGGAAATGGCACTGATGAGCTCAACGAGGCTGATGCTGGGTAGAAGACGAAGTTGTGAAGTTGGTATTCAATGATGAGGAACTAGGGACTAAAATGAGGTACAATGGTGGAGGATAAAACTTGGGACAGTGTGGAAACAAAGTACAAAAGCAAGAATTGATGAGTGTAACCTCAGACCCATGAATCATTCAAATCAGGAATACCATTATTCAGAAGTGTCATGAGAAATCTTGTGAGTTTAGGTGGGAGATACCTAAAGGTTAGTGGCATGCAAGTCTCTAAGGCAGATGTAAGGGGAAGATAGGTTTCTGTGTGAGAGGTGTGTATCATCTCAGAATTTCTTTGTTTTGTTGTTTAATCCTAAATTCAATACTTAACCAGACCCAGATAGGTGACAAATCTTTAAAATTTTTATTTACTAAAAATATGCTAGGATGATACTTCTAGATTAAGGATTCCATTTGGTGAAGGAGAAATTTCAGTAACTATTTTCATTGGAGTGTATTCAAAATATTTTTGTCCATCCTTTTGCTATAATTTCCCATTTTCTAGCCAAAAACTGATTTCTTGTTTCTGGACTACTTCCTTTCTTTTAAGCATAGAAAACGAATTTAGAACACAAGGCTACACTGCAAAGAAACTATAGTCACATTAGTTAATATAAATGCATTTTACAAGTTCATTATTTAAAAGTAAAAACTGCTATGACCTTTATAAAAGTTAATATGATTTATGTGATCAAATGTAATACATAAATCATCATAATCTGGCTTGAGTTAAAATGTTTTCTATATAATTTGCATGTACACTCTACCTCTGACTCTCTCTCTCTCACACACAAATAAATAATGTCATATACTTTAACACATACACATGTTCAATACTATAATTTACACTCAACTCACCTAACCTTTTTCCAACAATATAAATCACTGGTAATGGCAGGAGGTTTAAAAGCCATAAATTTAACCAAATTTGAGTCAGAATACAGCCCCATAGAAGTGCATACAAGCATAAGTTGCTCATTTTTGATTTTTCTTTCTTCATGGATCTACTTGATTCACTTCTTTTTGGTGTAGACGTTCGAAGAAAAGAGGGTTTGGTGAAATCTTGTGCCACTTCATCTAGATTAGGAGTCACTGATGGAACTTTTTTTTTAGTAGAAGTTTCTGAATCATCACTCTGGAATAAAATGTATAAACACGAACATCAAAAGAGTATTCAGCAAAAAGTAGTGACTAGTTTGGAGATTATAACACTAGAGGGCATGAAGTATGTGACAGAACACACAAATATTCTTACAGGAACAATTTACAAGGTTACAAATGTTAAAAAAGAAAATTGGGTGTAGAAATAAAAAAAAATTTCTTCAACTAAAACTGTCTGGAAAAATGCTGTTTTTCATTTAACTTTTTGAGGAACTACACCCTTTTTGCTCATGTACTATTAATAGCTTTAAAAACAACTGAATCCCAATATGGCATGATAAGTATTAGGTGAGGAGATGTACTCATGACTTTAGTCATGAAATAAAAATGTTTTTACCAAAATCTTATATCCAAACCCATTACTTTAAAATACTATATTTAAGTTTACTCAGGAAAGTAAACTTGAATTTAAATCAAAACTAAATTAAAACTGTTTAGAATATAAACTATGTGTGTACAATTTTAATCCTAGAAGAAATGTAAATGGGAAAAGAAATGATTCAAGCTTCATTTTCACAAAGATATTTGTATTTTAATTGTCATATTGTTTTGGTTATTTATCACAGCATGTGTTTGTTAATGTAGTCAAGAAAATGTACATATAACACTACTACTTCAAAATTAAATGCCAAATAAATAAATTGAATTATGTCAAACATTGTCAATGATCATTATTTAGGAAACATGAGGGTTTATACCTTTTAAGAGATGTTGAAAATTATTTATTATAACACAGTACGATATTTCTACAAAATAATTTTGAAACACTAAGAATACAGAAATTTACAGTTTCTTTAACTTGGTAACCTTGTGGCCATGATTAATAGGGCTTACTTACTTATCACTATAAATAATTTCTACATTAAAGTACTGTCATAGTTTTAAAGCTTTATTTTCACATATATGATTTTATTAACTTTAAAGCAATCTATTTTTTATTAATTCATAGTGGCATTACAGGTATGCATAAATATCTCAACAGAGAAATCAAAAGCTAAAAACACATTTACTGACTTTTAGAATTTGCTATTTTTAATCTGAATGGCACCTTATGAAACATACATGTTAAATAGCCAAGTCAGAGTCCTCTGAAGCTCAGGCATAACTGTCCCTAACTTAGAACTGTAGATTAAATGGAGGGAAACTAGTCAGTAGCACCCACCAACTTAAATGATTAGAAGATTGGAAGAGTTATAATTCCCCCACAGATGAAAAAGTAAATCATGTTTAGTGGCATATCACAGCTTGAACCTTGGACCTTCTGATCCACAGCTCAATATGCTAGCCACCAGGCACACCTGGCTCCATTTTAAGAGATGCACTAATTTTCAACAAAAACCTTTGATGCTGTGTTGATATTATTACGAAAAATGTAGCAATGGCCCTAAAGTGTGATAATGTGAAAAAAAACACAGAACCTTAGATCCACAGTTTGGCTCACCAACCAGTGGGCCACACCCAGCCAAAATATTTCATTAGAAATGAATAAAAAAAACTAAACACATTTCCCGATATCAGTAGTTCACAAAAATATATCAACAGTGAATAACTGTATAACCTGCAGAGAAAGCCTTCTTTTTAACACAAAAGAAAAAATATATATAAAAATATCAATAGTTTCAGAAACTAATATAATGTTATCATTAAAAATACCTTAATTATGGATTCTAAAAATAACAAAAAAAAACAAATCAAAGAGTTTTGGGTTTTTTTTTCTAGAAGTTTTAGAAGTTCTATCCTTAGTGAAGCTGAACTTATAGAATCTGTAGCCACATAGCCCATATGAGGGGATATGAGTACTACCACCTAAACTACCAAGTTCTGGGTGGAACTAACAGATGAATAAGTTGATTCACATAGGTGTATTTACTTACATAATATGAAAAAATTAATGTGTTTTTGAAAGTATTACTGATGAACTGTCCAGTCAAAATTGTTTCATATTTATTAAATACAAGTAAAGAGAATTATATATAAGGGGAAAACTAAATTTTTGTTGTTATTTTTTACATACTGCATGAGTTACAGTAACTTTAAGATGTATATCATGGAAGGTGTAACTTACACAGCCTTGATTGCAATATGATGAATATAACTGAAATAAAATTATTGCACCAGTATGAAATGTTAATTGTTTTCAATGTCTTACAGAATGATAGATGAAAGTGTGATTGGTGTGTATGGCAATCACATATTGGTTTCTCCTCTAGATTTACAAAAATATTTATACCAGAGCATGAAAATCAGTAGTAAAATTTTTCCCGATGTTCACAACTATGATCACTTTTCCGAACATGTTTGGAGAAGATATCTTAATTTAGAGGAGTAAAAATTATAAGAAAAATTAACACATTTTCATACACTGTACTTTAGGTTCTAAAAGCTCTCAAGTAACACACAACTGTATGCTATTTGTTGTGTTGTTAATTTTTCGTCTTCAATATTTTGGGTGTGATCCAATTATAAAATATGTTGATCTTTTAAGAGTATTTGTTATGTTGGTATGTCCATTTTAGAGGCTACATCTATGACTTACAAACAGTTGCAACTGACAGAACTGATCAACGTTGTAGATCTACTTTTAAATCTACAGTAATTCAAAAACATTATATATATATATATATATATATATGCAAGTAAATTAATAAACAATGGATGGTACATCTTAAATTCTGTAAAACAGAACTAATAGCATGAAATGAAGACATCTCTAAGAGAAGATTGTGCATCTTAAATTCTGTAAAACAGAACTAATAGCATGAAATGAAGACATCTCTAAGAGAAGATTGTGCATCTTAAATTCTGTAAAAGTTATAATTTTCCTATAGTGTATTCCCAATAGGTACTTAAGCTACTGATGTGAGAAGAGGTAATGTACTATATCCGAAACAGAAGTAATAGCACAAAATGAAGGCATCTTTATGAGTACAGCCAAGCATTTTCACTGAATAGTTTTCTTAGTTAAAAATATTGAGTGAAAGCAATAACCCACATCGTAAAAACAAAGCATACATCTATTACAAAAAAAAGAGCATTGCCACTATAACACTATTTAGGAAAACTATAACCATTCATGTTTTCACTACTTCAAACAACAGGAAAATGTAAGACAAAGAGGTTAATGCTTTTTAAACTTGCCATTAAGCTTTAACTATATATTTTGGGCCTTTTATATAGATAGAACTGAGGTCAAACATTTTTCAAGCTTTCACAGAACATAATAAAATCAAATAACAAGCTCTACGAAATTCACATTATAGAACAATATACTGGAAATGTTCAGAGTAGAATCTGTTTTTATTTTTCTGTTTAGCAATGGAATATGTTTACTAAGCTCTTAAATTATTGCTAATCTGGTAACTTCTTGTATACAAGTAAACTCTCGTTTTTAATATAATAAACAATTTTACAAAGTTGACATTTTTCTATGGATAATCACCAATAATCATACACAAAAACATCTTTTTCATCTTAAAATTTAACCTAATAGCATTGGTATTATAATTGCTCTTTCAAAAAACTGTTATATGTAGAGTACAAAATGCATATTTAACCAGAAGCTTTCACAAACCAGACATTAACAACAATTAATATCAATTTCCATTTAGTTTGCAAAATACTCAAGTACACCACCTACAATCATAAACCTTACATTATATTCTCCATTGTGTGAAAAATGTTAGAATCTTTAAGATGTAAATTGATTAAATGAGGATAGGTATGTTACAGAAAATTCACAACAAAGTATTTTACTTCTATTGTTTTTTATCATAAAGATTATTTCACATTGTTATCTTAGTTTATAGATTTAGGACTAATGAAAATGTACTAACCAGATCAAGCCATGTATAACTTTTACAGGCATGGAAGTTCATATTTAGAAATCAGCCTAAACAACTGAAACTTTTACCACAGTGTTGGTTTTATTCTTACTATATCTGCTATAAATTTTATTATTTCTAATTTAACTTTACATTTATTATTTTATCATAATGATTATTTTGCAATGTTATCTTAATATATGGTCTTAAGACTAACATAAGCCTCATCGAACAACCAAACCTCATGAGATATTATTGGGTTTGTGGCTTAAAATATTATAAACAGTGAAGGTATACCAAACTGATGATACAGTGCACATTCTAATTACTATAAGTAATACAGTTTGAACATTATAATTAATTAGCTTTGCTCATTACTAGGTATATACTTTTAATAGGTGGCTTGTTTTAATCAGAAGATAGATATTACTAATTAACCACTAACCCAGATGAGGCCCCGATTTAATGATGCTTAGGTAAATCAAGTACACCCCAGTCAACAAGATAAATAAGTTGAGAGACCCAATTTGTTAAATAAGTAGGAGCTAAATCCAAAGAGAGGGACTCATTGTAAGATCCAAATAAACTACAATTAGACCTTATGAAGAAATACATACGTGCTATATAAATGCAACAACTAATAGCTCGAACAATGCAAAGGAAAAAAATAAAATAAATACCTTCCCATGCAATGCAAGTTTCAGAGAAATATCAGCAGAAGGGTTTCAAAAAAAACAAAAAAGGGGCAGAAGAAAAAGTTGTTCTTAATTCAGAACAGAAGGCAAAGGACTGAGTGTGTTCACGATGAGGTGAGTAAGAGAATTGTCCCATGACAATGGCATTGATTTGTACAAGAAATCCCATTACAGTAACCACAGCCTAAATACGTTGAGAACATTGCTTAATACAGTGCTTGTCAACAGCAGTGTCCATCAGTGGTTATTCAAGTGATATTTAGAGGTTACAGTCCCACCTATATTGTAATGAAAATTACTAGTCATGTGAGTAGTGCATATAGCACTTGGTGAATGTGAGGTTTCTTGAAAACTAAGGTACCTGATTCATGCTTGATATTTACCCCAATATGTCACCTTTACATGTTTTATGGAACATTTGTAATTCTGGAACAAAAATGTTTTACTCAAATGTCTGTCACCAAGTGGAGTTGTGGTGTATTTAGGTGAACTGAATATTCATTAAAGCTGTCAGACATGTCTGCACAATAAGAGGAGATGTATTCACAATATTGATTACAAAAGATTAGTAAAACCCTTACCTGCTTGAGTCCATGGTAAGCAGAATAATTAGGGATTGAACACAAATATAGAACAAAGTGCATATTATATTTATTAGAGTACTAAACACAGATACAGTATACGTACGTACCAGATCATCACTCTAGGTGACTCTTCTCAGACTGTTTTGGTCAAGACAAAGTTCTAAGCCTATATCCATTGAGAACTTCTACCAGACTTCATAAATTAAGTAAATAAACATAGATACTTTCTAGAATTATGCGTATTTTTGATCCATCATGGAATATAGAATATAAAAATTTCACATAAAAAAAAAGATAATTTCTTTAATTAATAAATAAAAAGCAAAATATATCAAAAATAGCAGCTTATGTAGTATCTTGCATTAATTTTCACTATGTTTCTTTAAGACAAATATGCTAATATTAATAACTTTTAAACCATCTCACCATGGATGGTGGTTCATTTCCTTCAGCTGGTGGAATTACACCAGCCAATGATTCACTTGCAATTTTCAGTGTAGTGGTGATGACATTCGATGAGTCATCCTCTTCTACATTCTCAGTACCTACCAATACAAAACATCATGTAATTCCTAGTTCCATCAGTTATTATATACAGGTGGCTACCACTTCAGATGTTACCACAAAAGTAACATTCAGTCTCACAAAAAACAAGGTACTTGAGCTACTGTTACAGAAGTAAATTTCTTTGAAAAATGTAGCCTAGTATAGCATGCCTAATAGAAAGCCAACATGGATTCACTAAAGGGAAGTTTTCCCTGTTACATTTTTAAAGGATGTTATTTGATGATGGAAAGAGTATGAACTTGACGTATTTATATTTTCAAAAGCTTTTTGATAAGATACTACAAATAAGATTAGCTATGAAAATTACAACAGTGAGGAAAGGCTAGTTAATTGAATTGTGAGGTGGTTTTGTTGGGTGAGGGAAAGCAAAAACTTCTTTTTGAATTTAGTCAAACTGGATCTTCGTTACTAGTGCTGTGCCTCAAGGATCATTACTTGGCTGTTCTCTTGTTTACATTAATGATACTGAGAGACACATAAGTAATAAACTGGTAAAGTTTGCTTACAAAATTAAATTCTTGGGTACTTATAACTGTATCGAGGATGATTAGGTACTACAAAATAACTTGGATCAATTGATAAGTTGGACAAATAACTGGAAAATAAACTTTAATAACAGTAGGGCTGTACTGATTGTCGATGGTGCCCTGTGTGAGAAATGAATTCTGCACCCCCTCCTAAAAGCAAATCTAACCAGTGCTGACCTATCATCACCCCTTATGGGTTGGTGCACTGCATGCATTACCCTTGATACATCTCTGCATTTGGGTTATCACAATCTGATTCATATGTTTAATAACTGAAGAAAAGGATCTTACCATAGTAGTAGATAAGTCAGTCAAGGCATTAAAGCAGTGCTCTGTTCCTAGTAATAAATCTAATAGAATTTTAAGCGTATATAAACATATTGATTACAAGTCAAGATATGGATTTGTTTCTTTATACAAAACATTATCTCAGCCTCATTTTGAATACTTTGTACAGGATATTGAGTTATTGGAAATGTTTCAAAGGAGAACTACAAGAAAATCTTGGTGATGGTCAGATTATTTTATGGGGAGAGATTAAGATCTTGGGAATGATATAGAAGAGGTGATCTTACAAGATGACTCAGAGGATCAGTACACAGAGGCACTTGATTTCTTTGTTTCCTGGAGATAATAAGATGAGGAGACACATTATTTGTAAAAAACTGACTAGGTTATAGTTAATTCTGTTTTATTTTTTCTAAGAGGGTGGTTGGTTTATCAAATGAGTTAACATTGGAACTAGTGGAGACTGACACCTTACAAGAGTTTAGAAGGGGAGTCAATTTCCTGAAAAAATAAAAAAGAGGGTTTGATACTTAGAGTATATTTTACTAATTCTAGGTATGGGCTCTGGCGATTGGTTATATACTTTTGATATTCTTTTGGTGGACACCTCAAACTCAACGTGCATTCCCATTTATCTCTGTAGCTATTTGGGTGATGGTTATATCTCACTTTGCAACAGTTGCTGGACCTGTACGAGTTCCTGTCCTGTTTATATTCTTAGTTCTTCTAGTAATTGGTTTTATCACTGAAGTTAAGGAAAACTGGAAGCAAAAAAAGTCAAATGGTACATACTCATATTTTTGTTTGGTAATAACATGTCCACTTGTGATCCTTTGAGATTAATGGCAATTAGTTGAAGTGTGTTGAATCTGCACATTGCCAAACATAATGTCAATGAATGTGAAAATGTTTGTAATAGTCTCAAATCATTACATGTGCTACTCGATAGAAAAGTGTTGTTGAAGAAACATGTTTTTACGTATACAAACAAAAAGAGGATATTCGGTTCTTCAAGGCTGTTCCTGCACACTCACCCTCTGAGAAAAAGAAAGTTTCAAGCCCCAAGCAGACCATTTTCCACTTTGTGTTTTTTGTTGGAAAGTGCATTTTCATAATAATTAAAGAAAACCATTTTTTTCTTTACAGATGCAATTTCAGAAATTAGATAATAAGAAATTTTGGATCTGTTTAACAATATTAAATTTGTCTATTAAATAGTATTTAATTTATAATTCATCATATTTAAATATACTTATTTGTTTTAGCACAGTATATCCAATAATACTTTCCTCATAGTATTCAAAGTTATATGTGTACTGAAAGCTTTTGTTTTTTGTATATTTTAATTTTACAAGGATCAGTGCAATATATATATTTTTTACATTGTTAAAAGTTATTCTTTTAATTTACAGTTATTTAAAATTTCTATCCAAAGTTTCATTGTTGCAAATTTATGAAGTATTCTTTAATGTAAATTGTTACATTTTGCTTGTTTCAAGTCTGTTACTGGTTTTATTAATCATACATTTTTATTTTTTAGGTACGATCTGCTTTCCCCAGTAGCTCAAATAATAGAGCACCAAGAATCGATTGATGATCTGTATGATAATGTTGTTAGTACTAATGAAATATATATCATCAATCATTACAATAACATCTTTGTACATGTTCAATTTATTTAAAATTAAAACCAATATGGAAGAAATAATTCTGCAATCACATAATGTTCAAAACTTTAAAAGAAATTTTAGCTTACATATGAATATTCTACATAAAATATATATACACACCAATATGCCTGCTTTACTGAAGAAATCCAAGGTATTTGAAGCAAGCTGGAAATATATTACTATTCCATTCCATAAATGAACAGGAGAATTTTCTGGTAATGCATTATATATAAGATATACCACTGGCAAGCCAATACAAAGTCCAAGAAACACCTTGATATCACATAAGAAGAAATAACCTATGTTTTCAGATATGTTGTCAATTACTTTAAAAGGGCATGCAACCAAACCAAAGGCAAGAGGGGTTTTATCATCATGAAGTCCTTTGAGCCATCTACGAAGAAGCAAAGTCAACGTCTGCTTGAATGGATGAAGAACAGATCCAAACAGTACAGCCCACAGAAGTGGTTCTAAGAAAGGCTTGAAAACAAAATATACAGCAACAGCTGCAGTAAAGGCAAGTACAACAAAGAGTATTGCAGCTGTGTTATAAAATGCTTGTTTCAAGGCTTTTTCATGACTCTCAGGAACAAAGTTAAACATGTCCAGTGGTGATTTCAAGTAATGTGAATAGGCCATACTTCGAAAGAGAAATCATGTCATGGTACAATGTTGCCACTTTTTCAAATAGGTAAATCAAGTATCTAGAAAAAAAATTTATCACATTTAATTCTAACATATAGTTTATTTAATTTTTAGAAAAACTTAATTTCTTGCAGATATAGAAAGTTAAACAAAGATATTTTTGAAAATGTTTTGGTGTTATTTGAACTCTAGAGGAGACAAATTGGTGCTATAGAAAATCTATAGAAAATAACAGTGTGTGGTAAAAATCCAGGACAACTAGACACCTAAAAAAATGATGAAGTAGGGTATTTAGATACTTGTTTATTATAAAATAAAACAATAATTACAACAGATATGTTCCATGTACAACACTATATAAGCATAACTGCTATAAGCATATAAAAGACCTGTATATATCTAGGCCTAATACATTACGAATTTAATTTACTTCATTATATGATAGCATATAAAACTGTATAGATCTAGACATACTATATTACCAGTTTAAATTTTCTCTTTATCATATGACCTGTATATGTCTACTCCTACTACATTACCAATACCAGTTTAATTTACTCCATTATAGTATTATATATCTATCAAAGAATTTTATATGTATTTTAAATATGTTGCAAAATTTTAAGTTTTAACACTCCTCTAATACTTTAGAATTATTAGGTGTCCAATTGTCCAGTTGTTTGATTACCGTGTGGTATGTAGTGGGTCTCAGAGATAGTATTAGTAATACTTCAGAGTTGAATATTTCGAAAATTTCTGTCATGTCTATTTTAAAATGTGTAATTAATTGAACGGGTTACAGCTTATGTGGCACACAAAAGGCTTGTTAAAGATTGTTTTCTGTAGCTATGGGGAATAAGTTGGCTAGAATGATAATTTTGGGGAAGGTAGGTCCTAGTACTAGTAGGAGACATCTTCAGTAAACTTAAAGTCTCAAGACTGTTTTCCGAACAGGGCGAGGTGGTTCGCCTTTGGAATGGATTGTCTTCAATCTCAGATGTGGCGCAGCAGTAAATTTGAAGAAGTTTAAGGGCAAGCTTCAAGTTCATCAATATTTCAATTATGAGGTATATTTTTAAGTTTGTTCTTTAAGATTAGTTTCGTGGATTGGAGAGCCTATTTGAGTATTTCAGTATTTGGCCCAACGCATTTCTTTTGCTATCTTTTAACAGTTTAAGTTAATTTTTTTAAAACTGTATTATTAGTGTACATGTTTAAAATCTGGACGTCTGATAATCCTAGTACATATATATATTTACGTATAAAACACGAAGAACCCAATCCTATTAACTATATATACATCTTAACAAATTTTGGTCCACTAAACACATAACATACCAACTTTTAATATTAATTTATTAAGCCTATGTTTTTAATTCTAATTCTAAGTACAGCTATAAACTAATATGTACGTGACGCCCCCTATAGAGCACTCAACGGATATATTATATTTATCACAATTTAATCACTTTTCGGGTATGAAAACACGCCGTTTTTGATATCAAGTAATATAGCACCAAAAACCTTTAAAAAAGAAACAGGGATAGCATTTCTCTGTTGTTATTGTTTTTTTTTGGCACAAAGTTACACAATAAATTAACTGCGCTCTGTCCACCGCGGGGAATCGAGGTCTAGATTTTAGTGTTGTACATCCGTAAACTTAACGCTAACCACCATGAGACACATTGGTTGTTGTAATTCTTGATTTCCGAAAATTACAAGCACACACGCGCACCGGCTTGTTTTTATACTTGTAACTACCGGCAAAATTCTGATATTTCATCACATTAAGTAATTTTACGTTCTTTCCTGTTACCACAATCAATGTAAAAGGCTGACAAACAAAGAGGTGAGATTGGCCACTTTCCATATAAAATACATAGGAAACCCTAACGTTAAAATTAGCGGGGTTAATTACAATGTTGATAATATATCTGTTTAATTTTGGTGTTTCTGTGTTGGCCCGATTTGTTATTAGGGTCCTGCAACCAAGACATTCATAAACCCACAAGTAATTTGATACATATTTGGCATATCAGCAATTCTAAGGTTAATTTTAGTTGTTCTTTCTCCATTTCACCTACCATGTTAATGTTTTTGAGATGACTTTTTGTATGACCATAAATTATAGATCACTCTCATTCGAACAAGAAATAAATATTCATTTTTAAAATTAAAAATGTCCCCTCTGCTGTGGACTGCAGTTTCGACTATTATTGAAGGCTTATCAGCACAGCTTGGGCTGGCAAATCAAAGAAATACAGTTAAGCCTTTTATAATGGTGATTAGGCTACTTTATTGGTGATTGAAAAGGACTTAAAACCCCATTAAAATAACTAAATAATTAGGCGAATTTAACCTAACTCTCGAAATAGCCATAACTGCCTTGATTAAAGAATAAGAAAGTATTGTTACGACAGCAGAAGTCGCGTGATTCTGGAAGCATGCGCGCTGGAGTTTCTAGAATTATCGGGGAACCCCGCGAATGTCCGAGTTTTCGCTAGACGCCCTCTTTTTTAGTATATAAGCCTGGCAAAGAAAGCCAGCGATATAGATATAGATAGATAGATTCAAGAGGCAGATAGATTGCAGATATAGATAGATAATTGAGTCAAGCGAACAGTAGGTACCTTAAGTAAAGTGTGTGAATAGCTGTGATTTATGGCGTATGTTATAAAGGTTGTTAAGTTTAAAGTGGCTGTGGAAATTCTATGTATTACAAAGTTGTATCGAGGAAGAATAAACTAGGTTAATCAAGAAGGGACTTGTATCGCTGAAGTTCCTTGGAAAGAATTTATACCGGAAATTAACAAATGAGCAGAGAAATAACAAATTGGTGTCAGAGAGTGGGACAGAAAAAAAAAGATGGAAACGAAAAGTGGCAAATCAAACTACAGCTTAGCAGATTTTATGGCAGCAATACAAGAACAGCAAAAGAAACAAGAAGAACGAGAAAATAAACAAGAAAAAGAAACAAGTAGAACGAGAAAATTAACAAGAAAAAGAAACAAGAAGAACGAGAAAATAAACAAGAAAAGAAACAAGAAGAGAGAATACAGCAGTGGCAAGAAAACCTGCTGGAGGAAAAAGAAAAGAAACAAGAAGAGAGACAACAGCAGTGGCAAGAAAACCTGCTGGAGGAAAAAGAAAAGAAACAAGAAGAGAGACAACAGCAGTGGCAAGAAAACCTGCTGGAGGAAAAAGAAAAGAAACAAGAAG